GCCCGGTCTGTTCGGCTGAAGCAAGGCAGCCGGCTGCTCTGGCGAAGCAGAGAGCTGGATTTGGGCGCCTGGTTTTATTCTAGGCTTGTCCGGCAGGTGAATGAGTCGAGTGCAGCTCCCTTGGGCATGCGACTGCCCCATGGCTGGTATGAACGGGCTGCATTCCAGCTCCCGCACACATCGGGGGGAGAGGTGGGGGTGGAAAACCCACTGTGGAGCAGGGAAGAAAGGGCATCGGTCTGGGGGAAACCCTTGCCTCGCTCTCCCAAAAACCCCTCAGTAGATGAGCAGACTTCCATTTTCAGGGCTTTGCTGGGCTACCTTAAACCTGCTCCTGACTGGGGTCAGATGAGCTTGGCTAAAACCAAGCTCAGCTTTGCCCAGTCCTTTGCGTGGGATATACCTCCGTGCCCTTGGCATGGAGTGGAGACCGTGTGCTGTTGCCTCTCCGTGTCTGCTCCACAGTGCGTGTCCGTCTGGTCCAGCCGTGGTAGAGACCTCTGGTCTGGCATGCAGCATGCTGAAGGCCCGGGAGAAAGGACCTGCGTGAGACCCCCTTGGCATGCTGAACCCGAGCATGGGGACTGGCAGAGGGGAGGAATAAATGGCAGAGTGAAGGTACTTGGCAGGAGCTCCGCTGACTTCAGAGCAGCTGTGCTGAATTGGACCCAGGCTATTTTCTGTGTTTTGCTCTGACTCTAAAGGCAAAAGAGTGCGGGCTCCAGTCTGACATCAGTTGGTCCAGTGTGAATCCAGAGTCACCCCCCTGCCCTAACCGAAGCTGTTCCAGACCTACGTGACCTTGGCAGCGCTATCCAGGCCTGAGCCGGAGTATGAAAGCTGCACCTGTTCAGTGCCCATAAGTGCAGGGAACTGACTCTGATCTCCCCGAGGCCAGGCCGATGCCTCGGCTGCTGCTTTTAATTTCACTGTCCATGACAGCAGGATTGGGCCTGAGGGCTTTAATTTATTTTTTTTACCAAACTTGGAAAAAGAGGCTGGGTTTGCATTATAGCCATGTGATGCTGTTCGAAATCACGGTAATGAATGGGGCTCTATGCCACGGTATAGTGCACGCATGTAAACGTAATAGGGTGAATATTTAAAATCGTGTTTAACAGCTGCATAAATACATTAATAATTAGTCTTGGTGGTATACATTTAAAATGAGAAATGTGGTGCATGTCCTATGTACAATCATAAATATACACTTAAAATCAGAGCATGGGGGAATGCTGTCCTGCTTCTACTTCAGTCGCACCTAGGAGTCCCTGAGGGGTTAACTGCTTTTCCCTGTAAAGCGTAATCAGTGTGGGGTTTTTTCCCCCTCCTGGACCCTTCCTCTCTGCATATTCGAAGAAGGGGCTACCTTTTAACTGCAAGCCTTCACATTGCACCTCTCTCCACACAGCTGCTCAGCCTTGCCTCTGCAAAATGCTCCACCACTTCACCCTGCTCAGGCTGCAGCTGAACAGGCTTGCTGGCACCGAGATGACAAGCCAGGCTCTTGGGTACCTCTGACCTTGGGAAAACCTGGCGGCATGGGGTGCTGGAGCTGCAGGGGTGGGGAGAGCCCAAGGGGGTCTGGTGAAGATCAGGTCTCCTGCTCAGTGTGGCAGGCAGCTCTGAGCGCTATAGTGCCTGATGCACAATTGGCTCTGGGTGCATGAGGCACAGACTTGGCAGACCCTTCCTACTTTCTTTGGCCTGGGTGCTTTCAGTGCAGCTCTGAGTAATATGCACCTTGGTGCTACCTGTCTGTGCCGCATCCTTCTCTTTGGCTCCTCCAAGTTCTCTCTTCCTCTTGGTTGCAGTGGGTGGAGGGCTGGCTTCTTTGTTTGCCTTGTGTTGCAAACCTAGGCTGCTGCATTCTCCTTTGGGCAGGTCTCGTGGGGGTCAGTTTTCTCCCCACCTCTCCTAGTAACTAGCAAACCCCAGATTAAAGGTCTGGCCCAAATTGGACATCTCCTCTTGGCCTCCTTTGCACACAGGGAGGTAGCGGGGGTCAAGAAGGAACTGGACCAAGAAGATGAACCAGTCTTTGGGCCTTGCCTTGAAAACCAGCTTAAAAAAGAAGAGTGCAGCACGAGACTGCGTGGACTATGGAAAGCTCACTGAGGTCACCTTAAAGGATGCTTGTTTCTCACGGTATTACGTACAACAGGTTCAATCCGTTTTCCCCTTGGGTCTTAAAAATGCAAAATGGCCAGCAGAAAGCAGATCCAAAGGGCAAGAAAAAAATAAAAATAAAAGACTGCTTTTGTGGTAGGACAAGGCTGCAAGGCATGCCTCTGGCACTACGCGGCTGCCTCTCAGCGGGTTTGCCGCATCTAGGCGGTTCCAGGTGCCTCCTAAAACCTCTGAGCATGAAGTGATCCATTCACAAGTGGTCCCTGATTAGCTGAAGGCTGCCAGCCTGAAACTGAGCCCAGTGCAATGGCAATTGACCTTCGGGATATAATCAGCCAGAGGCAAATTTTCTGATGACAGAGCGAAAACTGAAAATGGGGAGAACTGGCCCAATCCCATACCGCCCTACTGATCTGGACACTGCAGAAATTTGCCCTATTAAAGAAAGTTGATTTAGGGTTTTGCCAAAATGGTAAAACTGTTTCATAGACAGAGAGAAACCACTTGTGCGGGCAACAGCGGGAGGCCGAGGGCTCTCTTGACTCCTCCTGACTTGGCCAATCTAGGCTTTAAAATCCCTTTCATGTAGTGCCAGTGCTCCCAGCTTGTGGGCTCTGCCAATAAAGAAACGGACTAGAAAGAATGGGATTTATGATGGCCAAAGCCTGTATTCCTGAACACAAGTGTTGCACCAAACGGAGGCACTTCTCCTGGCAGCGGTTCAATCTGTAAAACCGTTCCTGCGGCTAGTTGAATGGGAGGCGGAGTACAGTCAGGGCTGCCCCTGCATCCTTGCTCACGGCTGTTTCGATTTAGGAATCCTGAATGACAAGCTGACAGGTGGGTGGACAGGCTGCAGCACTGTGCTTTGTCCCACACAAGCATGGTCCCGCTAAGGCCTTACCTGGCAGGCTAATTGCAAATGCTGCCTGAAGCAGGACAGCAATGAATGAAATGCTCAGGGCAGCGCGCTCCCTAAAAGAGAGGGATGTCTCTGCTTCCCCAGACCATGGGAAAAGCAATGTTCCTCATGCACCTATTGCAACAGAGGCTGCGACATGGCAGAAATGGACTCCAGAGCAGCTCAGCATTTCCCGGTAAGAGATGCTGCTAGCAAAAGAGTGTGCGGTTGGACAACCAGCCGCCCTCCTGGAAGGCAGGATCCCTACAAAACACAGGCAAGAGAGCTTTCTGGTCACGGTGGGATAAGTTCGACTTGAGAGATGCAGTACCGAATAGGACGGCACGAGGAAAGAAGAGCGGCTGGTACAGGTGAGTATCAGTGGGGTGTATGGGAGGCGTTCGAGGAGGTTCTGAGCCACATTAGACCCCTGGATATTTTGGGTTGCACAAACCTTAACTTAGCAAGGAGCAAATGTCTCCAAGTGGGCTGTAAAGGAACGGGACAGAAAACGTGGGGCCTGTATTGCAAAGACGACCCCTGGCCCTAATACCTGGGGGGGGCCTGCACATGGGGACATCAGTGGAGAGCATTGCTGTCTGCCTGCTTGGTGACACAAGCTGGCCTTTCAAGCATGGTGTCACCACGGCTTTCCTAGACTGGTCTAGGAAGACTTGTAGCTGCAACGGTCCAAGAAGTGTCCAAGAGGCAGTGGGGTGTTTGTGATATCTCTTACTGAACCCACGGTACAGTTGGGAGAGACACTGGACCAGCTTCCCCAGGTCCGAGAAAGAAGCAGTCACAAGCTCAGCTAAATAACAGAAAAACCAATGAAGTGTGTTGAGCTCCACGTCAGTAAGCGCAGTCACTTACAGGACCGAAGCGTAGCTCTAAAGTAGGAGCAAAGAGACGTGAGCAGAAGTGGTTTCGCGCTTTCTCCAGAAGGAGCTGATGGCAGCTGATGTTCTAACGAGCACATTCGTTGCCAATTTGGGGTCCCTGGTGAGCTGCACACAGGTTAGTGGAGATACTTGTAGTCCAAGGACCACGAGACTCTTGGGAACATTGGTTTTGTGCAAAGATTTGATGCAGGCTTTTGCTGGAGAAGAGGTGGTGGCTGCCTCTGCTAAACAAAAATAAAGACCATCTGTTTCATAACCTTGCAAGAAAGGAGGGTGGACACTGGCTATCCTGGGGGAAGGACTCTGTGCGGTCCTGAGCCAGATAAATAAGGCCATAAATGAATACAATAGGGTCCTGCTGAGGAGGCACAGGGCACGGGGCGCTGGCACGGCTCCCTGCCCCGAGCGGACGATGAAGCTGTGGACATGTGCGACGAGAAGAGACCGAGACCGGCCAGGTCTGTCGCAGCCTGTGAAACATCGTCCTCCAGGACTCCCTGAAAGATCCAGCCGGAGAGGCTGAAACGAAGGATGCGGAAAAGCAAAAAGCTCCAAGAAGGTTTGGATGGGAGGGCAATCAGGGTGTGAAATGTTCCAGCCCTGCAAGCATGTGAAGAGCTAAGACCGTCGTTTAGATGCCACCACGATTTTAGGCTGTGCGGGAAGGGTGAGTGGAGCTGAGACAGGGCACAGTGGTAGGGACTGGGATACAGTTTGCTGAAACCAGGGGAAGGAGGTTCACCATTTCCCTTCATTGAAGAAAGAAGCCATTGACCCCCTTTATGGGATCTGGGAGCTGGTGGGGAGTGTTACCGACGCACACAAACAGGGATGCACAGGGTGATCAGAGGGGTTTAGCTGGGTGCTGTTATGTAAAGATGTGCACGTGCAAAAGGGAGAAGCAGGAAAAACATCCCAGTAGGAGACACGAAGGCAGCATGAAAGCAACAGAAGTGCGGGCACTGGCAGCCCAACCCTGGAAGAAGGCTGATGGAGCGTGCGGTTTGGGAGCGAACTGCCGGCTGAACAAAAAAACTCCAAAAAAAACCCAGAGCTGAGCAAATAAATGAACTCTTCTTCTTGGTTCCTCGTGTGCTCATAGGACTGGGACTTGGACGGTCTTTGAAAATAAGCAGGATTGCACCTAAGACATGACTGACAGCAGCAAGTTCTCCTTTCTAAAGGGAATAACCCACGGGACCCTACGCTGCGGGTACGGGCAGGAGCCTACAAGCAAAAGCCCTGTTGACCACCTAGTAGAGAACCAGCTGCTCTGTTGCCTTTTCAGCCGTTGCAAATTTGGTCCCAGCATTTTACTGGTTTGGGTCTGCTCTCAAGTTACAAGTGGAATATCTCAAGTGCAAGGATGCCATTAAGGAGGAAGATGGAAACCCGAATCATGAGCCCACGTGAGGCCAAATGCTGTGCCCCCGCTCCTCAAACAGGTTACGTTCCTGGAGAACGTAGCCATCGACTTCCACGAGGGCTTGATCCAGCCGTGGCTGAAGTTGCTGGGAATCCTGCCAGCGACAACGGATGCAAGTGGGGCAGAGGGTGGGTCACTTTTGTCTTTAAAAATGAATAAACCTCTGAGCCGAACAGGGGCTCGTTTAAAACCCGGCTTGCTCGCATATGATCTGTGGGGGCAGCCAGGCCAACTCCCTCGGAAATCGCGGTGAGCCCCATCCACCTGGCTTGATCTGATGCATGCAGGGACTGCACTGGCTTTGGCTGCTGGAGACCACCCTGCAATCGGCCACGTCCCCTAGGCTCGGGTCGTGAGTTGTAGGCAGGGGAGAGGTGTTTGTGGATGGAAAGGCCTTCACCCTCCAGGTCCCTTTGCCAACTCCATTCTTCCATCCTTTTTTTCCTATGAGGAAATGTCCCTCCTCCTTCCAGCATCAGTGAAGGGTTTGGAGGAAAAAGCAGTGCTGGCATCTGGAAGAAGAAAGCGAAGGAACAAAACACCATGAAGGAAGCTGGAAAAAATGAGGTAGGGAGCAAGAGTGCCGGCCTGATCCCGCGTTTGCTGAAGTCCAATGGAAAGACTCCCTTTGACTTCAAGGGACTGTGGCTTGTTCCCCTACCTTACTATATAGGTATGTTGCCCCTTTGGCTCGTTCCCACCTCTCACTCAGGGTCTTCGGTAATAGATGCCCCCACCACTTTGGGCAGACTGTATTTCACCCCGCGATGCCAACAAACTATCCCCTCGTCCTCCCGGTCTCTTGGATGAGTGTCTTCCAGTTCCTGTTAAGAGCAGACCAGCAATATCTAACTGATGTCTGAGTACGTCCAAAAATAAATGTGTGTTAATATATTGCATAGCTGGATCTGAGTGCAGGTGGGTCGGTCTGTGCATGCACGTTCAGGGGAGGGGACAGACTTCCAGTTCTTTTAAAAATCAAGCCTCTCTCCAAGAAAACCCAGTAAATAAGGTTCTACCTGGTTAAACCCTGCTTCTTCCAAAATGTCGTCTATCTATATTCACTCTTTCCACTTCATTAACTCCTTGCTTCGCTGTACGTGAGGCCAGATGTACGCATTGCTTGCACAAAAAAACCCAAAAACCCTTAGCCGCTGCTCAGATAAAGCCTGATGCAGAATGAGGGTTTGTTTGGTTTTTTAACGATCTCACGTAAAATAATGTCCAGATCAGAAAAACCTTAGGAAGCTGCAACGCATCCCTGGGGGCTTTCTTCTTTCTGAGATCTAGACCGCAGCAGTTTCCTGATAACTGTAGTTATGGAAAAGGGGACGAGCCATTTGTGCTGCTTTCACGGCTTACTCTGGAACATGGGTTTCCCGGCGTTTGCACGCTTGCCTTTCCCTTTCCCCGTCATTTCTTGCCGTCCAGCACTTCCCAAGCCCTCCTGTTCCCCCTCGCGAGCTCTTCGAAAAAGCCAGTGTTTCTTTCGGACCCGTTGACTAAAAAAGCCAAATACACAAAGTGCCGATAAAAGAAAATCTGGGAGTTCTGGGAATTACCCCACGACTCACGCCTGGAGCCTGCAGGGTTGGGCCGTTGGGGTCAGATCCAAAGTGCATGACATCAAAACCTTGACTTCTTCAGTGGCTTTGGTCAGGTCTTTGTATCCATGAAACTATCCTTTATGAGTTGTGCATGCTCCCCCAAGACGCTGTCCTCGCATCGTGCCCCGGCCGAGCATGGAGTCGCTCCAGGGAAACGTGTCCCTGTTGTCACTTTGATCCATCAGTTTATCCGGGGGTTGGGGGAGGTGGGTACAAGACCAGCTCAACCTCGCTAATAGCTTTATGATCCTTGTAAAACCTGAGCTGAAAGGTACCTTCAGACTCCTCTCTTGAAGGTGCAGAACGGGGGCTTTGCAGAGGGGAGCTTTTCTAATGGCCTGTTGTCAAATTAGCTCTATATCAGAAAATGCCAGTTATGGCTTATAATGAGCTGCCACTATGTCTCTGGGGATACAGATGGCCTGACACATGCCTGGCTGCTTTATTATAATGAATTTCCATAGCAGGGGGATAAAAATATTCCTGTGGGTCCCTTAGCAATTTAGATTGGTGGGGGGGGTGGGGGGGAATTATGTATTGACATACATAAGTGAAGGCTACTGAATTTTTAACTCCCTCCTTGCCTAGGACTTCAGTGCAGAGCAGGGAGATGAATGCTTAGCACGAAACAGGGTGATGAAGAAACAAAAAGCAGGATGGAGGAGAGGCCTGGTGAGGCAGGGAGGAGGTCCCTCCCTCCACCACAAATGCGGGAGGGGAGGTTGTCAGGGGGTGATGAAATTACACCCTAAATCCATTAAAAATGCAGTTTAATTCCAAAGGAGAAGCAGCCGTGGCCTTTATAGGAGCCTTGCTTTGCTCATTACAGCTGAGCTAAAAGCCACCTGGGCCTTCTTCCAAAGAGCGATGGGGGGCCAGGCCCTGCAGCCTCCCCCAGGCCTGGCTTTGGCCCCTCCGGCCTTTGTGTCACCGCTGACCCCGGCTCGGGGGACGGGGACGGGGGCCTGACGTGCTCAGACCAGAGCCACGCAGAGCTTCAGCAACGCGCGCCCAGCCCAACTCAGCCCTGCGGCAGCGGGTGGGGGTCTCAACTGGGCCCCTCTCTCCCCCGGCTGCAGCCCCCAGCCCCACCGAGGTCAACGCAGTCAGGATTTTGCCTTTTGCTTTTCGGCCCGGGCTCCCCTTTTTTTTTAATGGGAGCGTCTTTTGTCCCCGGTGAGTCTCCTAGGGATGCCAGCAAGGAGACGGAGCAAGGGCAGGAGCAAAGCACGGGGGGAAAAGATCCACCCAGCCCCACGCGAGGGGGGGACGCCCGGGCGGCAGGGCTCAAGGTGACAGGGGCGCGCAGACGTGTGCAGGGCGCCGGGGGCTGCCCGCCTGCTTCCCCCCGGCCCGGGGCAGTGGGACTTGCCCCCCGACCTGTGAGTTGCTGCTGGGGGGAGACCCCCACCCCCGTCCTGGGGAAGGAGGAGCTCAGAGCTGGGGTCCCAGCCCCCCGGCTTGCGAGGGAGCGCGGGGCTGCGGTCTCCCGGGCGGCGGCGGCGGCGGCGGCGGAGCAAAGCCCACCAGCCCCTCGGGCCCAGGCCGGGGGCGCTCCCCGGCGGTGCGGGGCGGCCCCTCTCTTGGCATTCACCGCGTGCCTTAATTGTGTGACATTAAATCAAGGTCCGCTGTGAACACGGAGAGCCGAGGCCGCG